AGGTCAGGCCCAGAGAGAGGCCCAAAGAGAGAGGGAGGGTCTGATCCATAGCCTCTGTGGCAGCTGTTGATCAGCACTTGCCTCTCTCTTTTGCTCTGGACCTGGCCAGTAGCTGCATCTCTTTTCCTCTAGGGCAGCGGTTCTCAACCTGTGGGTCGCGACCCCTTTGGCGGTGGAACGACCCTTTCACGGGGGTCGCCTAAGACCATCCTGCATATCAGATATTTACATTACAATTCATAACAGTAGCAACATTACAGTTATGAAGTAGCAATGAAAATAATTTTATGGTTGGGTCACAACATGAGGAACTGTATTTAAAGGGCCAGAAGGTTGAGAACCACTGCTCTAGGGCCTCCGCTGGGGCTGCTGATCAGCCCCGCCTCTCTGATCAGGTCTGTTGATAGGCCTGTTGATAGGACTGGCATAGAAACCAACCAATCAGAACCAAATCTGGGTGAAGTGCGAAGGCAGAACCTAAGGTAGGGGCTGAGGAGGGGTTTTAAGGGCAACAGCTGTTTGGTGTAAGGTGTAAGAAAGCGGTTCAATTTTTTAATGACCAGTTTGGCAGTATAGTGCATATGGCTGGCTATCAGTCCAGATATAGGGATTATGTATTTTTGTCTGCCAAGAGCATCTCCTCCTGCTGAAAAAGGATCCCCCCCCCCCCCATGTAAACAATCCTATCTATATAATCTATCTACACTACTAAAAGGGTAATATGCTCATCAGACCGGGTTGACTGGCCATCTTCTAGACATCCGACTTCCTTCAGGACAAAGCCATGGTGGTGGGGGCTGAGGCACAGGCTGTTAGGGGCGATCAGGCCAGCAGGGGAAGGCAGTTTGGGGGCGAGATCAGGTCAGCAGGGGAGGGCATTTGGGGGCAACCAGGCCAGCAGGGGAGGGAAGTTGGGGGCGAGATCAGGCTGGCAGGGGAGGGCAGTTGGGAGCAACCAGGCCAGCAGGGGGAAGGCAGTTGGGAGTGAGATCAGGCTGGCAAGGGAGGGCAGTTAGGGGTGATCAGGCAGGCAGAGGCAGTTTGGGGCGAGATCAGGCAGGCAGGCCGAGAGGTTAGGGGCGATCAGGCAGGCAGGCAGAGGGGTTAGGGGCAATCAGGCAGGCAGGCAGAGGTAGTTAGGGGCGATCAGGCAGGCAGGCAGGTGGTCCCAGATTGTGAGAGGGATGTCTGACTACTGGAGGGATGTCTGAATGCTGGTTAGGCCTATGGGATCGGGCCTAAACCGGTGGTTGAACATCCCCCAAGGGGTCCCCAATTGGAGAGGGTGCAGGCTAGGCTGAGGGACCCCCCCACCCCCGTGCACAAATTTTGTGCACTGGGCCACTAGTTATAGATATAAAAGCCTAAGTGACTGAATGACCAAATGACCGAACGACCAGTTGACCAGTCTTTATGATATGCACTGACTACCAGGGGGCAGACACTCAATGCAGGAGCTTCCCCCTGGGGGTCAGTGCATTCCCACAGTGGGAGCACCGCTCAGTTGACTGTGATGAGCTGGGCCAGGATGAGCGGGAGTGGCTCCTCCCCGGCCACCTGCTGCTTCGAACACTACTACATGCCAGTTTCAGCCCGATCCCTGCAGGTCACGCCAAGGGACCACATTGGTGCACAAATCCATGCACTGGGCCTCTAGTGTTGATATAACAGATAACTCTTAATCACTACAGCCCTGAAGGAAAATAGTAAAAAGTATCTTACATTCCATCACTTCCTATGAATGGGAAGTGTTGCCTTTTCCACATTGGATTCTACAACACGAATGGGAAATGTTTTTTACTTATTAAGATCCTAAGAAGAATTAATCAAGTCTTTCACTGACAATACTCAATGGTCCGTTGAAATTACTAGCACTGCCATACCCAGAAGTTAGGTTCTTGTTTAAAGCACTGTTTAGTTCTAGAGAATTCTGACCCAAACTGAGTAAAATAGAAAGGAATATGCTTCTACTTCATCAGTCTTGATGACTTTCTAAAAGCTTGTGCGTTTTGATGGGTAAGATTAATGAGACCACATAGTGTTAAGCACCTTGGCCTTTCAGAACAAAGGCCTTTTAGAGAACAAAGTATCATTATTAATGACATATCATTTACAGTTTTCATCAGCAATGTAAGGTTTCAGCCACTTTAATGGGAACTTTAATGCTCAATGTGGAGGGCAAGGCTATTAGCGAAGGTTCTTGACAGTGATACCTTGGCTTCTAAAGAAAAAGATAAATCATACTCAGATGGATCAAAAAGACAAGCTGAGGGGCTCAGAAGGAGGGGACCCACCTCTGGCTTACTGAGTTTCTCAAAGGCCTCGTCATCCATGAGTCTGCTGGTGAGCTCTGCCCTCTGCTATGGGCTCCCTTCCCTGCCCACCCGCCCCCCCCCCACCACCTTCTGTACACCTTGATAACCCAGAAAAATGCCTCGTGCTCCAAACCTCACCTTTCCCTTTTATTTGCCCTCGCCTATCTTTCTACACTCCCAAACAGTCTATGTTGGGTTTCACCGCTGCAGGATATTATTTGTCCTTTGGTGATCTGCTCATCCACATACATGAAATAAAGAAATTCTAGTGTGGGGCAGGAACAAACTCTTTCCTCTACCTACAAGGGTTCTTTTGACTGGTCTAATGATCAAAAAGACAGGTGGCAGATTAGCAAGAGAAAATAACCCAATTTAACACATACATTTGTAGGAGAAACCCGCATACCTGAGCGAGTCATAGACTCCACATGCCTGAGAGGTTCAGAGACAGAAAGAGAACAAGGATGTATAAGGCATCCTGAGCTAGAGATGAGATAAGGTGCCCCCGGGAAGGCGGGGGGACTTCAAAGAGTCACTGCAGAATGCTAAGAACATGCTTAGTAAGTAGAAATTTGCCCTATCCTAAAGACAGGTCAAAAGAGGCCATCTCTGATCATCTCCTATTTATTTTATTAATTTTTGTTATATTTGTGGGGTGACATTGGTTAATCAAATTATATATAGGTTTTAGGTGTACATTTCTATAATATATCATCTGTATATTGTATTGTGTGTTCACCACCCCCAGTGACATCTCCTTCTGTCACCATTGATCTGGCCTTTACCCTCTTCTGGACAAGGCCTCTATTTCAAGTTCTTCTAGGTAGTTGAGGGGCAGAAGTTTCTCTTGAGTCCGGGCTAAAGCTGTCTTTAGCTCAAAACAATCTGCATACTACAGAGGCACATCTCAGGGTGAGTGGTTCTGAACCCCAATACTGGCTTGCTGCAGGGACCTAATTTACTCAATGATGCTAAGGTGGGACTCACAGCACAGGTACCAAAACAGTGGGGAAATATTCTTTCCTGAATACACATCGTTAGTCTTAGGGCAATTATGGAAGATGGCTGTATATGGTCAACACTGTTAACATTTTTGCAAATTCTTTACACAAGGTGCTGCTTTCATGTAAGAGCTCTTCAGGACCTTAATGTGTTTCAGATTCACTAGGGCCTTCTTAATGACACTTTAAAAACTACTTTGTTTTTGTCAGAGGGAAATTAAGAAAAATTATTCTGAGGGGGCTGAAGTAAAAATTTTTTTAAAAAAATTTGTTATCTAAAATGAGTCAGCTATGTTTTAGCTACAGAAACAATATCTGGAATGCAAAGAAATGCCTGATAAAAATAAAGAGGGAATTTCCTGTTATGACAGTAACTGATGACTTATATCCAAGGGCATGTAAGAAATTGATTATATTGCAGCTCTACCAACAACTCTGAGAATTTAAGATTGTTGAGATTACCAATGACAGGAAGGGAACAATGGATTTAAAGTGAGGCAGAAGCCGGCTGGTGTGGCTCAGTGGTTGAGTATTGACCTATGAACCAGGAGGTCATGGTTGGATTCCCAGTCAGGGCTCAATCCCCAATAGGGGACATGCAGGAGGCAGCCAATCAATGATTCTCTCTTATGATTGATATCTCTATCTCTCTCACCCTCTCCCTTCCTCTCTGAAATCAATATATTTTTTAAAAAATAAAGAATAAAAAAATAAAGCGAGGCAGAAAAGGCTGTGGCTATATAGTTAATTGACATTTGTTACTAAAGGAAATCTCAGATTATTATTTTGTCTCTGATTTTTAAAAAAGTATATTTGTATTGATTTCAGAGAGGAAGGGAGAGGGAGAGAGAATCATCAATTGGTTGGGGACAGAGCCTTCAACCAGGCAACCCAGGAATCAAACCGTGACCTCCTGGTTGATAGGGCGACTCAACCATTGAGCAACATTGGCCAGGCTGTCTCTGATTTTTAACACAATCAGTAAATTGTTGTTTTAGTTGATTTGATTCTGGAGATACATGGAAAATCTTTGTTATATTATTATGTTTTGGGAGTTCCCACTGGCCACTTAGTTGTTTGGTTTTGTTTTTGTTTTTTGCATTCTATTTTATCAAGATAGGTCAAAGCACATTTCCAGTCCCATTATTGAGATCCACTTTTTTTTTTTCTCATCCCAGAAGACCAATTAAGGTAGGACACATTTACTGGGCAACAGAGAATTCAAGCCTGGCTAGAATCCTGAGATAGCAAACAAAATGCTACAGCACAGGAAAATATTTCACACATTTTTGCTTTTAAGGTTTGAGGTTTTGTGGTACAAAATACCTAACAAATAATTGCAATTCAGAATTTGAATAAAGTGCAGATATGAATAAGACTGCTATAGTCACATTCATTAATTACTTTTAATACTAAATACGTATTTTTAAATTGACCACATTTTACCAAATTCAAACAATTGTTGAAGATCACTTAATTCATACTACATGTTGATGTTAAAATAAGTTCAAATTGTTTTAAGTAGTTAGCACTGAAAGATTGAGTTCACTTTGAGCCATATTCTCAAAGATGATTTTCTTGCTGCAATATTAAGTCTGCTAAAAATAAATGAGCAAAGAGGTTGGTACTGTTTGTGCCTTTAAGATCATAGTTCAAAAGCATTAAGCAAATGCGATAACAAAGGTAAAACAAACATAACCTTTATTCTTTTTCAAAAACCCAGAGAACAGGGCCTGATTCACTGATTTAATCAGATACCTTACATTTTGCAGTCTCACTTAAAATTTTACAGCAATAGACTGAATACTGTACAACTGATAGCAAAATACATTATTGCTCTCAGCTACATAGTAAAAAAAATGGAGTAAATTCTCTTATCCAACATAAAGAAGGGCTAACTAAGCTAGTGAGCTGCTGAATTAAACATTCATAATAAATAAAAATTCCTCTATATAATGATCATATTTTCATAGCCTAAAATCTGACATACAATTGTGTCACCTTCAGGGTGTTGGGAAACCAACACCCTGGAATTGCTAAAATATATATATTTGTTATGCAAGTAGTGGAACAGAATCTCTGAAATCACATTCCTGAAGATCTGACCAGATGTCATGAATTTGCGTGCTATCCACCCATCATTATTTTTTAAAGAACTAGAGTAAAACAAAATTAATGTTAAATACTCAATACAATTCAGTATTTCTTTGACTACTAAAAGGAAACTCCTCCAAGGCCTTGCATTGCTTTACAGGCCTGAGCAAAACCAGTAGTAACTGGGAAGGAGCTGTAAGAGCAGACACTGACAGGATACCATATAACCACTTTCAGCCGGCAAACTGGTTAACATGATATCACTAAGGTGTTTTTTTCTTAAGTTCCTTAGCCATAAAAAAGTGTTTTAAAAATTCTTTTGCTTCTTAGAATAACTTTGTATATATTAGGATATTTTTAGAGTAGTCAGAATTTAACATCTCAAATGTTCAAATAATTCGTATGATTCTACTTACATAAGACTACTAGTATAGTCCTTAGCATTCATTTAAACATAATTAGTAGGAACAAACCAGCTCCATTGAAGAACATAAATTAAAAAGTGTTGTTGTTGTTTTCTTAGACCTAAGGGAAAAGGTAGGAACTTAGCCCTTTCTCTTTAAGCATAAGACATAATTTAATGACACAGAGGACTGAGTCGGAACTCAGGAGACACAGATAAGACTTAGAAAAATCACTTTCCCTCTAAGATCCTTTCCAGCCACCTGATTCTAAGATTAAAACGTTCCCTTCCGGGTTCAAGGAGGAGTGCTAGACCAAACCTGCAACACCTGTTGCCACTGGCCCTGGGAATAAAGGACTACCTGAAAAGCTGGGCTCAGGGGATTGCTTCAGGCCCAGCCCCAGGCACAGGGGGAAATCGGGAAACAATCAGTATTCTACTTGTTTCCTGATTCAGGAGGAATCTCCGGAGGGGCTTGAAACGCAGCTTCAAGGGTCTCACCGAGGCCTCACTGTGTTAGAATCGCTGGGGATGGTGCCTCCTAATCTACCTACATATTAAACACGCATGGTCTTCCCCACATCTTCATATCTCTGCAGGCTATTTGTGGGCTTCACTCTCGACCCCGACCCCCGCCAAAAAAGGAATGAAACCACTGTCGTAGTGGTAAATGCTCCGGAATCAGAGTTAGGAGCCAAAGAGTAGCTGCCTGATCTTGAATGAGTTATTTAACACCTCCAGGTCTGTCTCTTCATTAAATAGATGAAAAAGGAGTCTCTACTGTCCCTTTCGTTCTCAAATGCTACGGAACTTAAAACCTAACGCGTCAACTCGGTAAATCGTGAAGGAGCTGGGGAGATCTTGCAAGGTGGTCATATCCCACAGCCCAAACATCCCAACAAGTCTGGTAGCCCCCAATAGGGTGCAATGACTCCCTCTGGTCCCCTCATCCACACAGGAGGAAAAGTGAGGCTAGGTTGGAACTGGGTGAGGGGCGCAGGGGCGAGGGGGAGAAGCTTGCAAGAGAGTTTTGGCAAGAAGCAGGACGGATGCTTTGAAAGCAGGTATCACTCCTGGTCCTCAGCCTCGTCGTTCTGGTCCTGGTAGCGAATGTAGACGACCAGCATGACAAAGCCCGTGAGGATGCAGAGGGACCCGACGACCAGGTAGGCGATGCCCAAGAAGGGGTTCTTGCCACCCATCCAGGAGATGTTGCTGAGGATGATGCGCTTGTGGCCGCCGAAGGCGCGCACCGGGTAGTTGTAGGTGATGTTGACGCGGTAGTTGCCGCGCGGCAGGCCGGCGGAGTAGTTGCCCTGGCGGATGCGCGCGTACAGCTTGCGGAACCAGGGCAGCGCCGCCGTGCGCATCCACACCACGAAGTCCTGGTTGATGAAGCCGGTGTTGTTGGGGTCGGGGCTGAGCTGGTAGACCGGCACGGGCCAGTTGGGCGGGCGCGTGGTGCCCCTGAAAGCCAGCGCCAGGCTGCCGTTCACCAGCGGCGGGTTGTGGAACTTGACGTGGTAGTCGGTCCACCAGGCGATGCCGGTGCGGTCGAGCGGCACCTCGACGTAGGGCCCGCCAGGCAGGCGCTGGTGCCACAGCGTGAAGGTGTCATTGAAGAGGCTGTTGGCGATGGCGCCGCAGGGCGCGATGGGCACGCCCTTGGCGCTGAACTGGTAGGGGAAGCACTCGTTGACCGGGTGGCGCAGGGCGCTCTGCAGCCCGCTCAGCTGCGCGTCGTCGCGGGACACGCCGTAGCGCCGGTTGTTCTGGTAGAAGTTGGTGAGCTCGTAGTAGAGGTACACGGGGCCTTGGAAGAGCTCGGGCAGCGAGAAGTTCCAGGCGCACCGGCAGCTGGGCGGCGGCGCGCGGTCCTGGTCGGCCACGCCGCACAGCGAGCAGTCGCCGGTGCCGGGTTGCCCGTGTAGTTCGTACCCGCGCTCCTGGATGCCGTTTGGACGAGTAGTAGAGGCCCAGGCCCAGGCCGATGAAGGCCAGGCCCGCGCAGAAGAAGAGCGGCAGCGTGATGCTGGCCGACAGCAGCGGCTGCCAGGCGGGGAGGCGCTGCTGCGTGAACGCGGTGTTGTCGGGCTGGTGGGCGCCCCGCGCCGTGGCGCTCCAGGTCATGGCGGCCCCGCCGGCAGGGGCGCACGGGCGGACGGAGGGTGGCTCAGGTGGGGCCGGCCGGTCGCCTCCGCCTCCGCCTCCGCGCTGGGCGATCCCGGGGGCTACTCCCGGTCAGTTTTCCGCGGGCGCAGGTGAGTTTTGGCCCGGCCCCGCCTCTGGCCCTCGCACAGGTGAGTCTAAGTTCCGGGTTCTGGGTGCACCGACCAGACCCCACAGTTTCGCTTCGGCTCAGGTGGCCCGGGCCGGCTCCGCCCCTGCTGGTAATCGGGAGCTGCTCCGGCTTCCGGAGGCGACGGGGCGGGCGTTCCCTTCCTCACCTGGCCGGCCGAGGCTCGCGTTTCCTCTGGGTCCGGGTGGGTCTGGACGCCAGCTCCTCCTCCTCCAGGTGAGTGGCGGCCCCGGGCTGCCTCTGAATGGCTCACACCTTGCTCAGGTACCACCTTCCCTCTGCCTTCCCCGGGGCTTAGAGTGCCTGGGCCAGTCTTTCCCAAAATTACAGGAGCTGCAGCCTACAGCGCAAGAGGGATTGTCCCGCGGGTCCTGGAGACTTGACGATTTCAGGTTATTAATCCTATTTTATCCGGGGGGCGGGGTGAGGGTGGGGTGGGGGGAGGGGAGAGGTAACTCTAGATCCTCCGTTTCAGTCAACTTTCAGCCACAAATTGTAATGCCCAGGGGATTACACTATGGGAAATCTGTTTTGAATTCAATGGCTGCATTCACATTCTAGCATATTTTTTTTTTAAAGGGAAAATGATTTTCTGGCAGGTGCCCCAACGTGACTGTATAACTAAGAAAAGTGGAAAGTTCTCTAAAAATAAAATGGCTTTAAAAAGAAAATCTGGCCTGCCTGGCTGGCCTGACTTGGTGGTTGAGCACTGACCTATGAACCAGGAGGTCACTGTTCCATTCAGTCAGGGCACATGCCTGGGTTGCAGACTTGATTCCCAGTGTGGGGTGTGCGGGAGGCAGCTGATCCGTGATTCTCTCTCATCATTGAATTTTCTCTCTCTCCCTCTCCCTTCTTTTCTGAAATCAATAAAATATATTTTAAAAAAAAGATTTTAAAAAAATCAGGCCTGGCCAGGTGGATGGTTGGAGGGAGCATCATCCCATACACCAAAAAGGTTGTTGTTGGATTCCAGGTCAGGGCACATACCTAAGTTGAGGGTTCAATCCCCCATGGAGAATGAGAGGCAACCAATTGATGTTTCAATCTCACATTGATGTTTTTCTCTTTCTCCCTCCCCTTCTCTCTGTCTAATCTATTTCTTTTCAGATTATTGGTCTGATTATTTGCCCAAGGCCTGATCCAAGTTCCCAAAAGGCCTAGCTGCTGTCCACAGTAAGGACCTTGGAGTGTTTGGCCTAAGGAACTGAATCTGAACTACAAGGATTTATAGGGCTTATTATAAAGTGAGGCCAAATTAGCTCTGAACATTGCTTGGGATTCTGGCTTTTATATCTGGGTTGGTACAATATACACAGGGGGTGTCGGGCCATTTCAACTTTGTGCTAAATCCTCCCTAGCTGTTGAGGTCTTCCTGCCTCCCCTGCAGTTCATAAAATGCAAATAACTTAAATATTTTCTCTATTACACTTCTGCACTCAGAATAATATACTGCATTTAAGAGTCATTCAAGACCCCTTGAAATATGAAAAGTTAAAATACTTGCTAAATTAAACAGCAGGATTTTATTTTATTTTTATTTTTTCTAGCATCTTCCAAGTGTCTAAACAATGTGGAAGAGACAGAAGAGAATGAGACTAACAAGGACCCTTGACCTCAAGGCCTTTGCAATCCGATACGGGACATATTACTTAGGAGTAAGAAAGAATCAAAATAGCCAATAGATATCATGTAATCAAGTACCAAATTGTACTTCAAGAATGGTACTAAAACTAAAAAGTAATACTATTTTAATAATGAAAATTTCATTCCATTTCATTGAATGGAATGAATACAGTTTGGAAGCTTTAACTGTTAAGAGACTCCTGAGGGAGACCCAGAGGATTTGAATTCCACTTCCCTCACTTCTAATCACACCCCAAGAGAGGAAAATGCCAACATTGTCAACAGGTTCCTACAGTGTGATCTAGTCTCCATGGTACTTTCTTTTTTTTCCAGTAAGATAAAAGAATAAACAGTTCTCTGTTTCATTGTGCTTGAGTTCCAGCCACCTCAAATCATTGAATCATTCGTTGGCTTGACATGAAGTCTACAAAACTAGTCTCTAGAAGGAATTCCGGTCTCAAAACTTCACCTAATAGATCTTACCTCTAAGAGTTGCCACACCACCACTCCCCGCAAAGGGCAAGCTTCCCTCTTGAGCTGAGAGCCTGCCTGTCCAGCTCTCTCCTCCCTGGGTGGCCTGAAGTTTATTCATCCTGTTAAGTAGGGTAACACCAGAGGGTCCCAAAAGCCAAATGACAGGGAATGGTCAACAGGGTGAAACACAGCTGAGGGTTCAAGTGAGATAAGAAATGAAAAGGGGCATTGGGTTTGACTTCTGTGGGAACAGTCTGGTGGAGGGTTGGGAGGAGCATTCTGTATCAGGTGAGGGAGAGGGAAGTGGAGACAGTCAAGGTAGGATGTCTGCTTTTTTTAAAAATGTGTGGGAGGGGTAAGGAGAGGCAAATGGTAATTATTTAGAAGAGTATGTGTCTTAGAGGAAAAGCTTCCTTGTAGATGGTAGACAAGTTTATTCTGAGGCACAGTTGAAGACAGGGGTGACACACTCATGGAATACAAAGGCCAGAGCAGGCAGGGGGTGCTGGGTCCCCGTGAGGAAAGGTCACCTCACCTCTGAAGGTGGAGGGCAGGGAGTAAGGATGGATGCAGAATGCACTGGGCTTTGGGTTTGGCTCGAGGAAAGAAAGTTTTCATTTAAGAATTCCTTCCTGTGCAGGAAAAGGCATTGGGGGAGGGGAAGGCAAGGCAAGTGTGAGGTATAGGGAAGACTGCAAAGAGGGAGAGAGGGAACTGGCCAGGGACACATGAAGGTGGCTTTGTCTAGGCTGTGAGATGGCAAATGACTGGCTGTGTCCAGCAGGTGGGGGTTTTCAGGGCAGGTGGATTGGAAAGGTAAATGTTCAAAATATTTTGGTTCTTGTGGAGGGGGTGGCCAAAATGATAGGCCTCAGTTGAACGACAACGAAAATAAAACCTAGCTGGTGGATCAGAAGAAAACACAGGGGCCAGTAGGCTGGCAGTCCTAATGATGGTAAGGAGCAAGTGCCATGAAAGCTGGGAGGAAAAAAGTGCTGGGATGAGAAGGGATGTTAAAGATTTTGGAGGTGGAGCAGTGCCAAGATATGCCATGTATATGTCATAGTTCCTCCACTGGCTCCCAAGTCCCGAGAAGTCAAGGACTGATTGATATACATCGTTGTATCGCTGAGAGTTATTGTATAACTAGGGATACCTTGTGTCTTTCATTTGATTATACATGTTATCGTGATGCATTAAAGGTCACTTGGATCATTTAAACTCTTCTCAGTACCTTTAAAGAAAGTTCATTCTAAACAACTCCTTATTGCATCTCTTAATATAAGAGAACTCAAAGTGTAAGAGAACTCAAAGTGAAAGAAAAAGACTTTCTCAACCTAAATGTTTCTAAAATGACTTCATTTTTAAAGTTTTATCTTCTGGATTTTATGTAAGTATTTAATTTTTAATTGGTTATACTTGAGATAAAAAATACAATTATCATTCTACTTGTTAAATTACCTCCTTTTAGAATTAGATGAAGAATAAAATAAATATTTTCCATGTTTCTTTGTGGTTTCATAATTTTTTATGGTTCTAAAACTCACGGATCTACATTTACTCTCCTGTTTTTGGGCATGTAGATTATTTCCAGTTTTTCAGTATTTCAAAGACTTTTGTAGTGGACATCTTTTTGCATGTAACCTTTTATATTATAGTTGACCCTTCAGCAACACAGGGACTAGGGGAGCTGACCCTCCACATAGTCAAAAATCCATGTATAACTTTTGACTCCCCCAAAACTTAAGCACTTATAGTCTGCTGTTGATTGGAAACTTTATTTAAAAAAAATTGTTTATTGATTTTAGAGAGAGGGGAAGGGAGAGAAACATCAATTTGTTGTTCTACTTATTTATGCATTCATTGGTTGATTCTTTTTTTCTTTAAAAAAATTTTTTTATTGATTTTTTAGAGAGAGAGGAAGGGAAAGTAAGAGAGGGAGAGAAACATGATGGGAGAAACATCCACCAGCTGACTCTTGCATGCCCCCTACTGTGGATCAAGCCCACAACCCAGGCATGTGCCCTGACCAGGAACTGAACCAGCGACCTTTTGGTGCATGGGATGAAACTCAAGCAATTGAGCCACACCCGGCCAGGGCATTGGTTGACTCTTCTGTGTGCCCTGACCAGGGATGGAACCTGGAACCTTGGCGTATGGGGATGACACTAACCAACTGAGCTTCCCAGCCAAGGCCAGAAGCCTTGCTTCTAACATAGACAGTTTATTAACACATGTTTTGTATGTAATATATATTACATACTGTATTCTTATAGTAAACTAGAAAAAATAAAATGTTATTCAGAAAGTCATAAGGAAGAAGAAAAATACATTTACAGTACTGTATTTATTGATAGCGTAAATGTAGGTCATTTGTTTACAAGATCCATCATCTGTCAGTACCTACATTAATACTGTTTTATATGCTACAAAACACTGTAGATGTTATACATATTATTAACACTAGACATCAAAAATGAAAAGATAATGTGAAAAATTCATTTATTTACAGATATACTGATTCATGCATTGATAATGAGGAAGCAGCATTATGATTGCTTTGGTTATCCCAGTGTAATTGAAATGATTGCTGCACAGTAGTAAGGAAATCTGCAAAAATTGTCCAGTATATTGAAAAAGATCTATAGATAAGGGCAGTTTAAACCCATCTCGTTGAAGAGTCAACTGTATTTCCTTGGGATAAATTTCTAAAAATAGGAAGGGGGCTAAAAGTTAAACTCTTTAAAGATAACATCCTGCTAAAGTCTTTGACACCACCACAACAATGTATACTTTGCTACATTCACCAAAACTTTACCAACAAAAGCAGTTGTTAACCACAGAGGATATTTAGTCTGTGCTAATAAACTGTCAGATACTAGGAGAAGCAGAATAGGATAAAGGAAAGGGCGCTATCTGACATCAAGGAAGTCCAAGTTCTACTTTAGGATTGGTCAGGAAATAACTGTGTGACCCTGGTCAGATTGCTTTATTTTTCTGGCCTCCTGATTATTTATCTGCATTAGTATGTTTTCTAATGATAGTGAATATCTCTTTTATTGTAAATATTTTCATTCTTTGTCATCTCAAGGTCTCCTTTACACTGACTTACTGAATAATTAGTATTCATTGAGTACCCACCATGGCGCACTCTGTAAGCACTTTATAAACATTATATCTCATCAAATTCATACCACAAACCTTAATGTTAGGTACTATTATCATACTCATTGAACTGATGCAGAACTAAGATTTAGGCTAAGGAAATGGAGCTGGCCCGGTT